TATATATATATATATATATATATATATATATATATATATATATATATATATATACACACAAAAATATATATAAATGAATTAGGCAATCAAGCATCACACAAATCTGTATTAATTATTCATATTAAAATATATCAGCTGAATATCACATATTTCTGTAAAAAATGTGTGGGTTGTCTACAAGGACTTATAAGCCATGCAAGAATGATGCCAATTTATGAAAAGTTTGGTTCGTGACTGGACTGTGTAGAATCACTTAATCCCTTAGAATTAATCTGGTCTAAAATTTGTCCCCACACCACTGATCACAATGCAGCGGGGATGAGATTCCCAATGTTTTGAACCATTTATAGTGAAATAGTTTTTCAGGCTCACATGGGAGAGCAGAGATATTACAGAAACTTTCAAATATGATTAAATACACCTACGCAACTGTGACAATTTATTATGTTCTGAAGGTAGGTAGGAGGACCGGTTTGGTATTGGAATAATAAACATGTTGCTTTAAGACAAATGGGGATGTTGACCATTCTGAGTATAATTGTTTAATCAATCCAAGCTCATAAAACTGAAATATGTTTGAAATACACTAATGCACTAGTTTTTTTTATGTTTTTGAAATCTCTAATGCTTACCAAAAAAAAATAGTAATTTTGTGAAATATGATTACAATTTAAATAACTGTTTTCTATTTTAATATATTTTAGAATTATAATTCATTCCTGTGATGGAAAAGCTGAATTTTCAGTAGCCATTACTTATTTTTATCAATGCTGGAAAAAATGGTTTTGTGGAAACCATGATATTTTCTAATTCAGATTATTTGATGAATAGAAAGTATGAACAGCATTTCTTTGAAATAAACATTTTATTAAATTAAATGTCTATTTAATGCACATTATCGGAATAAAATGATTCAACATTCTGAACAATAAATTTAGATATTTTACATGTGTGATCTTACACTGACATCACATAAGATATGTAAATCCACTAAAGTATCTCACAGGAGACATCACATGTGCTCCAGTGTCTTGCTACATCACATAATTTCTCGATCCCAATCTCATTTTTGTGTACAATTATTTAAATAAAAGATAGTGTGATAGTGTGCTTACATTTAGATATGTTAGTGATCTCTGTCTGTGTGTGTGTGTGTGTGTGTACCTCTACAGCAGAAGTGCTGGTGTGTGGCTCGAACCTGCTGTAAAAGCCTCTCCATAGCCTCAATGTGACCTCTCCTGCTCTCTCTCCCATCGCAGTCCTTCCAGTCTAATAAAGAGAAATATTACACAAAACTCAGTTTTGTGACATGTTCTAGATGTCACAAGACATTTAATTTGATTCCGTCAGACTTGCACAAAAAAGAGCCAATCTTAATCCTAAAGTACCCCAAAATAATCCAAAAATAAGGCGAGACATTGTTGGGGCACTTACTGAATAGTGACTCATTATCAAGAGAGGGTCATTTGAACACAATGTATTATAAAGATTTTCTTTTTAAAAACTAGAAGGAAGGACAGCCGTAAATTCTCTTTTAAATCTATTTAATAAAATCTTAATTTCACCCAAACAATTGTCTGTGTCTGCATTGCGTACATGCGGTTTTATAATGCTGGATTGGTTACTGACACAAAACTTGTCTCCCTGTGACACAGTTCGTTTTTCTTTGCAGCGTTTATTTGAAAGCTGAAACTCAAGGCCAGATCCAGAGAGTATGAAAGGCAGCAGGGTGAGTAGAAGTCGTGATGGTTAAATAATAGCGCAGTCCTACATCCAAGGATGTTGGCTACAATCAATACAATTTTCTCTCCTTATAACAGACATGATATTTGAATTAGAAGCACAAAACTATGCCGACACAATGCTCAAAGGTTCAAAAACTTCCAGACAATGATGTTTGGAGCTGTAGTATGCTTTTTATAAATTATCCTTGAATGTGGTACTTGGGAACTGTGGCTGCTTTGCTGAACTTACTGGAGGGAACTGCAGAGGGAGGTTGAGAGAGTTGTGCCGGACCCCAGCCTTTCATATTGTAGGCGGAGACTTGAACGTTGTATTGTCTACCCTGTAACAAACAGAAAAATATCTCAGAAATTATTTACTACACAACAACCAGCTGTAATTACAGTGGAGCTATAATTGTATCTTACCGTGGTAAGACCTGATATTGTGCATTTCAGGGACTGCAGATTCTCGAGGATCATCTCTCCGACTAATAAAGAGAAGTCCTTCAAACAGCTCCATTCCACTGCAATAGACGTCATCACACATTAAACAGAGTTAAAAGCTGAAACATCAATAAATGAGTGGAGTCTAAAGAAACTAAATATGACAGAATGAAACTGGATCATTATAACGTCATCTACAGGAATTACAGCTACAACAACATTATAGCTTGAATAACTAGATACCTATATTAGAAAACGTGAGTGGTTTTGTCCATGCAAAACTCTGCACCACATTGCTAGGCTGTTGAGCGTGGTTGCTAGGAGGGTTTAGGATGGCTGCTCACTAATACATATCTCTATGGATAAAAGGTCCCATCTCCAAATCTCATAATCTATAATATTCAGATGCCTAGATATGGCTTGGCCCCAATTTAAGTCAATGGGTTTGTTCACCTGTTTATCATCTGTTAAAAACAGGTGTAGCTGCAAGTAAAAGTAATAAACACTTCTTCTCCACCCCTTTCAAACAATTTAAAATAATAGTAAAACAAAAAGTAATCTGGAATGTTAAATGATGAACAATATGAACAAATCTCTTATCGGTTTAAAAAATTGATTTAATTAATTTACTTAATTGTTAATTAAATGATATTACTTAAATTTAATGAAATAATTAAATTAAATATTAAATTAAATTAATATGTTGGGGTGGGAAAGTTGTAATTTTTCTATATTTTGCATAATAAAAAAAACTATAAAAAAAAAAAACTCTTTCTCAAGGCAATCTGGTATATGCGTGTGTAATACAGACAAATACACATTAAGGCTGCACTGACCTTTGTATTTGGTCACTACGGCCGAATTCATGCTGGCAGGTTCCTGAAAGCTAACAGTGAGAGATGTGCTGCCGGTCACACTAAGACGCACCATCAACGGAGCCTCTGGTGGTCCTGAAAGAGCCAATTCATAGGTCACATAGCATAACTTGCACATAGCTTGCTTGCATTGTGCTTTTACTGTAGGGAGTGGAGAGCAATTGCTGTTGATAATTAAATAACCATAAATACAAGTAATGTGTAATTTTTGATGATAATATATTCCCATAAAAGACTTAATATGCAAAGACAACTAATAAGTGATCCATTTGCAGGTTGACTCCCCGTAAGTTTGAACATTGTACCAACATCAAAACATTCTGCTCTGTCTGAGCATCTCAACCAGCCCGACTCAGCAGCATTAGCTATGTATTTGGGGCAATATCTGTTAGGCAGACTAATGGAAGATGGGGAGTAGCGTTTGAATGTCTGCACACAAAAGTGGCTCGACTGACCATATATTTTTACAATTAATGAAAATAAAGTCTGAAATTGCTTACACCTTTAAATAGACATCCTATTGTCCTTCACAGGTGGAACGTAATATCTGTTTATTGCTTTTCTGTTGACCTGCTGTCAGTTTAAATGGACTGTCTGCCCAAAGGAAATCCAAAAGCAGTGGAAAACACTGCAAAAATTTATTTTCTGAAGGTGCGGTCACATTGACCAGCGCTTAGCAAACATTTTGAGGGTGAAATCCACTCATTTCAATAGAATTCATTTTGCGTGAGAGCATTTTTCAATGCAGATTTCATGTTGGAATCAAGTTGGCCATGCGAATTCACTGTGTTCAACAACACAAAAACGATTGGTTTGGAAGTGACTGTGTGAGCTGTGCATTATATATTGCTACATTGACAACAGTGTAATTGTGCAATACACAATAAAAAAAAAATCATCTGTATGTGACCACACATTTGTTCTATTTTTGTTTAATATTTACATGAAAGCATCTACTAGTATTTTTGTCTGGTTTTCCAGTACTGGTATCTAAATATTCTTAAATCAAGATACACTTGCTTGAAATAAAATTGAAACAAAATCTGTTTTGTAAAATGTATCAAAATTGTGAGTTTATGATTTTTTTCTAACCCCATTTGCAGATATTTTTTCTAGTTTTAAGAATAAACACATTTTGATAAATGTTTCAGAAAGCAAGACTTGATATCTTACGTCATTTTGTTTCTTAAGTAAATGTATCTCTATTTAAGAACGCGAACTGTGAATCTAGCTGTAGTTTGTTTGGCTGAACGCTGTCCTTTTTATGTCCATTGATATGTACATGCACGGTTTATGCAGTTCCATCGCCTTGTTAGCACCTTCATTTTGTACTTGTAACCCAAAGCACACAGCCCAGCTAATGGTGCCCTTGTGTTTCCTGAAATACTTTTCATAGATACCTCTGAGTATTTCTCGGCAATCTTATTTTTGAGAGTGTCTGCGGCAAAGCTTTGCTGATTTATCACGGCTGCCTTCACTTGAGGTTGTTTACAAAGAGAAGCCAACTAAACTCGCCAGATATAACGAGTAATCAATATGACAGGAGGGTGCGAGGGACACTATTGTGTGTGTTCACAGCTCAAGAGTCATTTCAGGCCAATCAACCTGATATTAATATCTGTGGGCCAAATGATCATAGTGGCTTGTTTGCAGAGTCTTCCCACTCCAATAAAGTGAACAGGTGGGGCCGATATAGGAACAGATGACCTTTCCGCAGAGATGCTGATAGATTAGACAGGACTGATAGTAAATAAGGCCAGTTCAATGTGTATTGTATTGTAGCATAGCATATGAATGACCTTTTTATCCTGAGAGGTTAGGCATCAGAAGCAGACTAGGGTTTGACTTACGTGCATGCTCGAATCCCGTGCGCATTCGCTTGTAGAGTTTGCATCTCCACTCCCAAGCTTTGAGCTGTTTTTCCTTGTCAGATGTTTCCAGGCTGAGACTCTCTCTCATCACCTGGGTGGACAGCTCGCTGGCTCTCCTTTGAGCTTCCTGCACCAGCATTGAGAGATGGGCATCTCTGCTCTCTAAACTGACAACTGAAACACAACACAGAGGTCTGGTAATGAGACTTTTCATTTATTCCAATGAGTATGTTTTTTGTAGCTTCTGGATATTTGCATTTCAGTCTAAAGGTGAGGTGTAAAGTCACAATGTCTTACTTCAGACCTGTATAGTGTAGAAAATACAGGTTCTCTGCTATGAAATAAAAATTAATTATACATTTGTGCTTTTGTACAATAGACCACAACACTGGTCATCCATTTGTTTCAACAACAAAAAAAAACATTTTTGAATATTTTTTTATAATCATTTTCTCTGTGGGCAGTACAATATTTTTCAATGAAGTGTTTTATTGGCCTTGAACCAAACCAACCAGCTCTGAGATGAATACAACATTATAAACTTTGTTTGGAAGCAAAAATATTTGAAAACAGATGGCAGATTACATATTTTAAAATTAATTTATAAGGAAATTAAGTCTTCATTCCATGAAGCTTTGAGATTGACTAAATGAAATACAAAAACTACAGTACAATATGTAATGAATGACTTTGTTATATTAACAATATATTTTTACTTTATTGCAAAATATATATGTATTTTGAGAGTGTAGGGAGCATCAATTTGTATTTACATAGTAACAGCAGTTTTTGATTGGTTTATCTTTTTTGAGTAATATGGTTAGTGTAACAAAGAGGCTTTCAAGCTAAAAAAATTTTTTAAACCCATTTAAAAAAAATTAAAAGCAACAAAAATCAAACAAAGCAAAACCAAATAAACAGAAGATGGTTTACACAGAACATGAACTCATCAAAACTCGGCAAGAAGGCCAACATGAACCTAGAAAACACACAATAACATAAACCAGTCACCAAAACAACACGACCAATCAACCAATAGAAAAACAACCAGAATTTGAAAGAAAGGGAAAGCGAACACAGAAAAGATACAAAGAAAAGCTAGATAAACTAGCTTTGTGGTTCTAGTTCTAGTATAGCTATTTTTGTGAAATAAAGTTAAATTCACACTTGTGGCTTCTACAGAATCATATATCATAATTTAACAGCCTCTGCGCTCATGGTAGCTCTGTCCTAAAGGGTTTATGTGTTACTGCTGAAAATCAATTTCTCTATGGAGATAATGACCAGGATTTTTACTTCCAGAAACTTCCTGCAGTTAAAAAAACATGCACATATTGACTACATGAATTAATATGAAAAAAATATCTTTTACACATACACTGTGAAAAATTATTTCAAGAAAATACTATTTTAGTCTTCCTACTTCAAAATTGCAATGTGCTATTTGCCATTTTTGTAATAGTGTAAGTAAAATTGTTTCTTCACCATTTTTTTTCAGTGTAGGCAGGGCATAATAGTTTTTGCTTTGCTTTTGCAAATTCATCAACTTGTTTATAATCAAAACTGTAGTGCGAAAAAGACATGCAATATCAGACTTATCAAATCCATCTTAAACTTACATAAACCAAAAATAAAAGTCCTGATTGAAACAACAGGAAGCCCATTACACTACCATTAATTCTCCAAGCTCACACTACTTGTGTCAGCACAGTCGTGTGGGTGAAGGGGAGAGGTGTGGATGAATGTAGTCGACGGTCGTCTGGAACACACAGGACTGTGTTTGGCCATATAGATTTGTCATGGTAAAATGAATACTGCCTGACCAGTCCTCCTCATAGGCCGTGAATACTACTGCATTTTCTTTCAGAGCCTTAGTCATAGACCATGACAGCAAAATAAACAAATAAATACATGGCTGAAGAAACCTTCTTTCACTGGCCTAGCCCGAACCCCCGGAGACGAGAGCTCTCCGGGGGAGATGATAAAGTGCGTGTTGTCAACTCGAAAAAAAGAGGGTCTAACCTAGCCTAGGTCTTACATGGGGTCCACGGCGCAATGGAAAAGGCAGCCATATTAGCAGTCCTGAGGTGCAATTTCCTGCGCTCTGAAGACTGACATCTGGCTACTACGTGCGGTTAATTGAACAAACTATAAATTAATGGGCGAGCCGGCCGATATTGCGCTGTCACACACAGTTGGCATTGTCGGGACTTTGGGACGGCCCTAAATATAGGCATTATGGGCCCCAGTCCTGCCCATAAACATGCTTTAACTTCAGCCTTCGGTCGGACCTACAAACTGTCAGGCGTCTGGCTGATTGATTTACTTGGCACTTCTGGCCTGACATAAATATAATGCTGAAAGCCCAGGAGGGGAAAATACGGCAATGTTTATTTTCTGTTTGTTTACAAGGATTGGATTGTGCCACGATGAAATGTTTTGAAATTTAACTGCAGCCTGGGTACAATAAATCACTTAGTATAATTGCCCCCCGTTACATGCATCATTGGAAAAGTGAAACCATTAAACGACAAACCTTGTTAAGATTTTTCTGAGGGATGCCGTGTGCTGTCTACCCCACCCCGGCCCCGCTCCGGCTGCAGTACAGTGCTCCCTGTTTGGTCTCAGACAACATTCGGCTATTTCATGATTGCACAGAGTGCTCGGGACTGGAGGACTTTTTTTCCCACATTTTTCAAGGTAAGAAACACCTGTTCTACTGTTGCCAAAGACTCAGGGACTGAATATGCTATTGATTAATCCAAGGGCAATGGGTGCAGATATTTTTAACAGATCTGTTCTTGATGCTTTAAAACCTGATAACCACACTAAGGTGGTCACAAAAATAGTTTGGTAAAATGCAAAATGCCTGAATGTCAGTAATGATTGTTTTATTCTGTGACACTGTACAATGTTATTTCCAAAATATTACATAATGAACGTAATTCATTAACTCATTAGTGGTCACGACAGATGTCATTCGATGTTTAAAGTAGAATTATGAGTGCTTATGGCAGCTGTCATGGAAAAGTTTATTCTAGTATTCCTACTTGGAGGCGATTATTACACGAGCCCCTAAAGCAAAGTGCCAAACACTCACTTCGACTCCGTCTGTTTATCGTCAGCTTCATTCTAAACAGCTTGTCCAATTACAGAGCATCTGCTTTTGGTCGCCAAAGCTAAACAGGAGCGTGTGACGCAAGAAAAACCTTTTGATGGTGAAACCACATAGAATGCACTTCTATTCCTTGGGGAAGATGTGATGATAAACAAAGCATACAAAAGTAACCTAAGATAATAAAAGTAATAAAAACCTAAGTAACACAAGCACATTTCTAAATTGTAACCTTTCAGCCAGAAACACAGAATTATAGCTACTGTAAAATAGATTTTAGTTATTGTATTACTGTGAGAGAGGAACTGTAAAACTGAAACATTTTATCACACGTGATAAGTGTTAATAAACTGAACTGTAAATGTATTTTATATATATATATATATATATAAAATGTATGTTTTTGTATATGTATTAGAACTACAATTTATTATTTTAAAATGTATACATTTAGATATTTTATTGCTAAAGTGATTTTTTTAAATCCTTTTATTTTGTACAATTTAAATATGCACAATTTCATCACATAATGTGTTTAGGTGCTAATAAATCGAATTGTACATATACAGACACACGTGTGTGTCTACGTGTATATACGGTATATGAGTGTGTGTGTGTGCATATATGTATGTATACACATACACACACACACATATATATATATATATATATATATGCACATATACGTGTGTGTGTGTGTGTGTGTGTGTGTATGTGTGTGTGCCTATATATGTATATAGTACTAGTATTCTAGTATAGTACTAGTATACAGTACATTTGTAATATTTTATATAGCAATATGCAACAGCTGACATTTAATGAGGGGACAAAAGACATGTTACATTAAAGCAAATAAAATCTATAAAAAAGCTTTTTACTAAGAAAATACTAGCATTTTAAAATGTTATGTTTTCATATAAAAATGGGGCAATACCTATAATATGGCATTTTGGTGAAAACTCCCATGCCAAATGTTCATAAAGAACTAGATTAATTAATTGATTCACTCCAGTCAAATTACATTGTAAATTTCAAGGATGGTTTAGTGGCTCTTTAATAAGGAAACACTTTAGACACGTGAAGCCCTTTAGACACACTGAGGGATTGACTGTTTAAAGCTCATGTCTGTTAAATATGCATACTCACAGTGAGGGCTCTCCTTCCCTCCTGCTTTGAGCAGCAGTTTGGCTATGGGGACGTTGTTGGTCATGATGGAGATGTCCAGAGGTGTCAGGCCTTCACTGTTGGGAGTGTTGAGGTCCAGTTCTTCAGCTGTGTACTGGAACAGCAGGATCTGCACGGCATCCAGGTCCTGCTGTTCAACAGCCTCAAACAGAGCCTCACTGCTCTGAATGTTCTGTGAGGAGAAGAAACGATTGAAGGTAAGCAGTGGCACTCATGATACTCTAAGTAGTCATTTAGCACACACTTTTATACACACAGTAACTTGCAGAACACTTATTACAGGAACAGTCCCCCTAGTGCACCCTTTTGGTTAAAATCTCTACTCAACTGTACAACAGCACTGAAAGCTAGAACAGAATTTGTGACTCAAAAGCTCAATTGATTTCCTTAGTAATCTGAATGCCCAAAATTAAAAAACTCTAGCAAAAATTCTCAACCGGTTGCCTATTCACTTTTTATATATATTTTTATGGTATATGTGACCCTGGACCACAAAACCAGTCTTAAGTAGCACGGGTATATTTGTAGCAATAGCCAACAATACATTGTATGGGTCAAAATGATTGATTTTTCTTTTATGCCAAAAATCATTAGGATGTTAAGTAAAGATCACGTTCCATGAAGATATTTTGTAAATTTCCTACCGTAAATATTTCAAAACTTAATTTTTGATTAGTAATATGCACTGCTAAGGACTTCATCTGGACAAATTTAAAGGTGATTTTCTTGATATTTAGATTTTTTTTTTGCACTCAGAGATACGATTTTCCAGATTTTCAAATAGTTGTATCTCGGCCAAATATTGTCCTATCCTAACAAACCATACATCAATGGAAAGCTTATTTATTCAGTGATGACTTGTTTTGTGGTCCAGGGTCAGATATTTATGCAACCTGATTTGGGATTTTGATCAGTAATATTTTATTTTGAAATAAATTAATACTTTTATTCACCAAGGACACGTTAAATTGATCAGAAATGACAGTTAAGACCTTTACATTGTTACAAAAATACTATTTAAAAAAAAGCTGTTCTTTTGAACATTCTATTTATCAAAGAATTCCAAAAGAAAAATATCACAGTTTCCACAAAAATATTAAGCTGCAGTCTTCAACCTTGATAATAATAAGATAATAATAATTTTTTAAGCACCAAGTCAACATATTGCCGGTGATCATATGACAGTGAAATCTGGAATTAATTATATTTTAAAATATATTAAATATATATAAATTAAATTACATTTAATTTAATTTAATAAATTATTTTTAACTGTAGCAATATTTAACAGTATTTTCTTTATTTTTGATTTTAAAAATGCAGCCTTGGTTAGCATAAATTCTTACCAACAACAGGCATTTCAAAAGTAGTGTATATATTTATTTTTGTAATCATTATAATCATATTTTGAACAAAAAAAAATTGAATTCTACTCTATATTGGATTTCGAATTCTCCCCTGTCTATCATTAGCTAAGTAAACAGACTTATGCAATCTGTTTATCCAGTGTTGTTGTATTGAACTGGTTATTATGCTTGAACAAATACTTTTTTTGCAATGCACTACACAGACATGTTTATGGTCCTCAGAAACGTCAAGCTATTAATAGCTTACTTATAGATGTTAATGCATACATTCACTGTGATCACAGAAAATACTCTCAATTACTTAAAAAATAATTCACAGATTTTCACCAACAATCAGCACGGACAACGTGAGCACAGATTGCCCATGGATGATTACTCATGGGTTTGACCTATAAAACCTTTCAATTACCAGCACAGATGCATGGTAATCAGGCATGCACCAGAAGGTAGGCACAGAAATTACTAGTACTCCAATCAACGAATGCAATAATTATTCATAATTAAAATGCGAATTCATACATCGAATCTAACAGCCACAGCAGCTCTTCTTCAATTGTGAGTTAAATCCATAAATGAAAATATTTGGAGGCAGCATTTTTTTGCTGCATCCCAAAAATTTATATATTTGTAAAAGAATATTTTGAAGACTATTCTGATCGCCTAGCAAGTTGTCTGCAGTTTATGTAACCACAGACGAGTAACACCTCTATATCAACCATCAATCTCTCCATGACGTGTAAAAACAATTAATATAAATGCCTAAAAAAAGATAAGATCTGCTCCATTTGCCAAAACATCTGGCATGAGTACACGCTGTCTGAACGTTGCAAAAAAATGCTGATGCAAAAATAAATATGAGAACTAAAAGCCCTCATCTGCACTTCCAACACCTATGCCCAGAGCACGCTGTGCAAGAGATAGGGAGGAGGGGAGGAGGAGGACCTGTTGTTCTTTTCTCATAATCACTCCAGTTGTCTCATTCTCTGTCTTATCTGCAGAAACAGGCATCTAATCCCCAACACAACAACAATCTGGCATCCTGACTGTCATGAGTGGACCTGAGCTGGATCCACAGGTGATTCGCCTACCATGTGCACACGTTTGCTGCTTCAAACCCTAGTGAGCTGTCTAGCTACACAGTATTTTAAGACATCACAGGAGGGCTGTTCCGAAAGGTAGGCAGTGTAATTATTAAGATTATGTTTCCCCCCTCTGGGTGCATTTTATACTAAGGAGCTCAACCAACCACCACTGAGTTTTTATCAGATTCTTGGAAAACAGAGGAATCCACAGGTCATTATTTAAAGAAAATTATAGAAATAATACAAAATATAAATTCATTTTATTTTTAATTATTTTTTATATATAACTATATTAATAATTATATAATTATATTAATAGTTTCTATTAAATCAATTTTAAATATTATAGTAAATATTTTATTATTTTATAAATTATAAAAATAATACTTTGATACTTTGCATAAATTATAAATATGCTAATTATATATATATATATATATATATATATATATGTGTGTATATATATATATATAATATATATATATATATATATATATATATACACACACACAATTAAAAGAAATACTTCTGCTCTTATTTCTGAAAAGTATAGTAAATATTTTATAAATTATAAAAATAATACTTTGTATAAATTATATAATTATATTTGTTACATTTTATATATATATATATATGTGTGTGTGTGTGTGTATGTGTGTTTATATATATATATATATATATATATACATTATACCGTTTCAATTAAATGTATTTTATTTTATAAATACAAATATACATACATGTATATAGTATATACATTTGCATGTGTATACATAATGTACATACATATACATTTTATCTCAAAAGTATATCTATAATATACAATATACTTAAAAATACACTCTTAAAAATACTTTTTAATTTGAACTTTCTAACTATTTTACCCAAATCAGTATTCCAAATCAGTTACTTTTGAGACTGAGTGTTCTTAGAAGCAGCTGCCTATGTAGGCATTATGCAGTAAGGCAGTTCACTAGGATTTGGAAAAGAGCCAGTAAACATGAATCACAAAAGCAATCTGTTGAAAACTCAATTGTGGCTAGTTGAACTCTTCAATATAAAATGTGGCCAGAGGGCAAAATGCATAATGCTCCAACTTAATTGAGGCATATTCAAACTAGAACATGGCTAATTTCCCCTCGTTGTTGATGTTGTTATAATAATGATCAGAACATTATGGAAAAAAGGTTGTTTGTGTCTTTGTATTTGTGAAGACCCTTAGGTTTTAAAGCAATATTGAGAATGAGTGCTCAATCACAGCATGTGATGCTTTTAATCCATTAATACTGACTTAATAGCTGGAATGCTTGACTGTGTGTTTAGTGCCCTAGTGCACAAAAGCATGCCCTGATTTTTATTGTCTCCAACGGGCCAATGGAAAATTACAGTTCCATTAACTAGCAGAGGAGATTTCGAAGACTTTTTAGAAGTAATACTAGCTTTTAAAGATGAAATCTGAATTGGACTATTAAAAAAAACACACCAAACAAAAAACATGTTGCACTGTGGGAGGATGTGCTCAGATTCATTGTAATTCTACTCTGTCTATAGTCATGACGTGGTGTGAAATGGGTCCCCAGGGAAAAAAGGAATATTATACTAATATGGCTTATTATCTCTCCACCTACTTGCATATTAGCGAATGCTTTATTTTCTCAGAGAATAGCTCAAGCCATTTGTTTCTCATGCAAAATGGTCTCTGAACACAGAAGTGCTAATGGCAGTCCTTCACCGTTGTAGATACGCTGATGACGAATCCCCTCTGTGCAGCCGGGGTGAAGTTACCCAACCATTCCAGCTGGAGATAAAGACAAGTTTGAGGAAAGAAAAGGGGATGATTCACACGACCACATGGACTGACAGCTAAGTGACAGACAAGACACATTTTCCTACTACACTCTCACCCACCTCTCCAGTGCAACCACATAAATGCCATCCTGTGTTAATTCAACCGAAAACTTCTAAGAAGAGAGCGACACCTCAAAGAAGAAATGAGGAGATATAGAGAAGAAAACAATAAGGTGATGCAAAAAGGTGAATGGAAATGGCTGCAATTTGACAACAGCATTCAGCTAAAAGATTTAGGGATGTGTTCTTTATTAAAGCCAATGAATATATGCCAACATGAAAGACAGCTTCAATTGTTCCTTATCTAACATAAAACTTGTGACGTGCAGCCACAGACGCTGCAATTTACTGGGCTCCTCAACAACTGTTTTTTTTTAGGTTATGCTATTGACAAACAAAAACAATGATCAAGTGCCTAATAAACAATGTTAATATTTTATACTCACTTTTAGATAAGTATTCATTTTAAATATTAATGAAATGTTGTGTCCAAAATTGCTCACTCATTCACTATTCTCTATGTCACGAATCCGGTCCGTGGTCTTCAGGCCGATTGCCACTAGAGGTTATTCTCCCATTACATTGACTCTCACACCACACAGACTGTTACACATCACCCTGGACTGCATTTCCCATCAACCATTGCACTGATTACACGCACACAGCTGAATGCACTGATCACACACACACACACACACACACAACTGAATCCAATCAGACATGCTACTTAAGCCATGGACTTCCTCTCTCTCACTGCCAAGTATTGTTCTGAATTTTTCACTTCCCAAGTGTTAGCTGCCTTACTGAGCCATTCCGTGTTTTCTGTTTTCGTCTTGTGTATTGTTTTGCGTGTATCCCTGGTTAGCGGATAGCTA